ACACACACACACACACACACACACACGGCCGCTGACATGCATGCAACACATAGATTTCTCATTCACACGCACGCACGCTGCAGCTTCTCCATGCAACGATGCACCGGGCAGGGGTGACACTCACGTGCGGATTCCACAGATGCCGGTGTGGCGCCTCCGTTTTGCTTGGAGAAGCAGAAAGAGGAGATGGGATGCAGGAGGGGAGGATGAAAAAAAGGCAGGAGAGGGAGGGATGCAGGGAGGGAGCCGGGGATGGAGGGGAGGGAGGGAGGGAGGGAGGGGAAATGCGGAGGGACGCAAGGGAGTAAGGGAGGAGGGTGGGGGGGCAATGGGAGGGCTGAGTGGTTCTAGTAAATATTTATATTGCATTATGATACGCGAGAGAGTGAGAGGGAGAGAGGGGGGGAGGCAGAGAAAGGGAGAGATATAGAGCGTCCATCCCTTTATTAATTTTATTCCGGACCGCTAAGTTTAGCATTCAACACGTGTCGCCAGTGATGGAGAGAGGGAGGGAGGGAGGAAGGAGGCGAGAGAGAGAGGGAGAGGGGGAGAGAGAGGTTGACGGTTGCTAGGTGACGGGGCGCATATACTGAATTTTAACAAAAGAACAGGGAAAGAGGGAGAGAGAGAGAGAGAGGGAGAGAGAGTGAGGGAGGAGAGAGAGAGGGAGGGAGAGAGGTAAGAGAAGAGAGACCGGAGAAATTGAATACATGTAGAGCACATATATATTTAGGTATATATATTTTCCCCGGCGTGTGTGTGTGGGGGGTGTGTGTGTGTTTGCGTGTGTGTGCGTGTGTTGCGTGCGTGGCGGTGGCGGCGGCGGCGGCAGCAGTAGCGGCGGCGGCGGAGGCGGCGGCGGGGGACACCCGCAAAACGGATACCTCAAAAAGGAAGGATGTGAAAAAGGATGGAGGGACGCAGGAAGAGAGGGGGGACAGGCTGGTGAAAAACAGTAAGTGCATTTATTTTAATGACATTTGCGGTGCAGAGGCATTTTTTCCCCATACACACACTCACGCACACACACTCACGCACACTGACTCTGTAACTGCTTAGATTAATTGCGGCTCGGGCAGTGAGAGGGTGCTACGCGTCATTGAGACGGGAATAAGGAGCTCGGGTGTCGGCATTTGCGCGGCCGCTGCTCGTGATGGAGAGATGGATGGATGGATGGATGGATGGATGGCCGGGGGATGGAGAGGTGGAAACGGCCGGCGCACCGGGGCTTTGACCCCTCTGTCATTGCTGCGCCTGGAAACTCACAAGCCTCTTTAGCCCCTTCACGCATAGGTTCCTCACAGCAGCAGCCGGGATAGATGCTCCACTGATACACACACGTATACACAGATTACCGGTGGTTCAATTAATCATATAGTCGAAAGCTTTGGGCTATGATTTTGTCTGCCAGGAATTTTCCATGCATTATTAATAAAGACAGAGTTTGGGTTCCGTTTAAGTCTTTAAACACTGGCTGCAGTTTCCCCCCCTCACTCTGCTGCTGCGGATGTATTAACTGAGGTGATCATATCTGTTGATGCTCATTTTCTCAGGCTGCGTGGTCAATGTTAGTGTGTGTGTGTGTGTGTGTGTGTTCTGCTAAGCCCGCAAGATTGCCGATCAGTTTCCCCCCCCCACCACTGATCTATTTATATCCCGATACGCTGAATATTTGGGCGTATAGCACACTGTTATCCCTCCACCGAGGAATCTTCCCCCCAATGGGCTGACTTGCCTCAAACACTCTCAGACAGCTGGAACAGGCAGGGTGTGTGTGTGTGTGTGTGTGTGTGTGTGTGTGTGTGTGTGTGTGTGTGTTTCTCCAGCTTGGTGAGAGAGTGCACTTTGTAGTAGATTTCTAAATTTGCGCCCTGTTGGTGCCCATGTAACTTTTGTGTTTTGCCTGGCAGTACTTTATAGCAGAGGGTAAGTGAATGGCTGCTGACATCAACACCCCCTCTTCCTCAGAAAAATAAGGCCTTGCACCATTGAGGACCACCAAGGGATGGAGGCCATCATTTTGACACTGTGATGTGTTGAGCTGGGGGCTGCTTCCCTCACAGATTTTGCTGCAGTGATTGGGATTTGTGGGATCAAATATATTGCCCAACACGGTGAGGCCACTGAATGCATTTGGGAATTGGATCATTGAGCGTGCTGTTTGTTTTTAGCATTTCTCCAAGGTGTCTGGTGCCTCTCGATGGTCGCTCTCTGCTGAATTCTCAAACTGATATCCATTTCAATCAGCTCTTTCGCCCACAGGTGACATGCTCCACTCAGTTTTTCACCCCCCCCCCCTCGCAAGCCCAGTGAAATTTACACACTGGTGTACTGCAGCAGTGTACTGCATGCACTGCTGCCTGTTAGGCTAAAGTGTTGCCTTCGGTGTCAGCAGTGCCGATCTGTCGTACAGTTGCCCAGAGAGGGATCTGTACTGTAACAGCTGTGTGTAGGGGTAGATGGGGGGAGAGGAGGGGGTGATTAGAGAGACAGAAGGTGTGGAGGGAGAGAGGGATCAGAGAAGGTGTGAGGAGGAGGAGGAGGAGGTGGTGGTAAGAAAGCATGAGGGGAGAGCCGGGTGAGAGATTAGAAAGGCAGCAGAATGGAGGGGAGAGCGAGAGAAAGGCGGCTGGAATTGACTATCAGAGGGACACGGGTGGAAGGCACTGGAGAAGAGATGAGAGGGCTGGAGTCAACATCAGTGTGCACTGTTTTCTTTCCCCCCCAAGTCTGTGGTCTTTATCAATTTCACCTCATTGATTCGTGGACTTTTGAACAGAGAACCTTCAAGCTTAACTCAACCCCCCCCTTGCTTGTCTCCCGTTTCTTCTACCAATCCCCCTGTTTCTACTTGCCTCAATCCGTTCCGTCTCCTCTCCCTCACCCCTGCAACCCGTGACTTCCTGATCGCCCGGTTTCCTTTTCCCTCTCGTTCGCCCGCCTCCTCTTTCATCATTTGTTTGATGCAACATTAGTGGATGGTTTCCTCAATCCTGCGGCCCACCCAAACCCCCTCTCCCACCCTCTCCACACGTTGCACCCAGTGTTCTTTTTAATACCACTAATTAAGGTAAAGCTCGTTAACATAGAACATCAATTAGTCTTTAACGAGATCAGAGGCTGGTGTTTTGGAGCGATTACAGTACTCCCCTCTCCCAGAGTTCTCCTCTGGACTCTGCTACGGCTTGTATCGATACACGTGTTGCATATTCACTCTGGCCTGAAGCAGTGATGCCCAGAATTTGCGGTGGGTGTGGGGTGTCATGTGAGGTGGGATGTTTTTGACCAATTTGCTGAATGGTATATGGTGGTATTTGTTTTTTATTTAAAATCCTGCGTAGACTTACTCACAGCTACAAATACATGAAAATCATTAACTACAAATCTATATTTTCTCTGATAACAAGGGCTCGTTAAATACATCTATATTATTTCAGGAAGGAATGTCCTCTGAAATTAGCAGGGGACACAATTCATCACATTGATTCTGCTCTGCAGCCTAAAGTCAACTAGAGTCTAAATTAAATACTACAGTGCAAATCATAAGGTCATTTAATGCATGAAGGGATTTTTTAGACATAAAATGATAGTTAGAGAAAGAGAAAAAATGAATCTGTTCAGTTTCAGTTATTTATGGACATGAAACTTGAATCATTCACCGCATGATTTCAAACATCTGCTACTGAAAATACAAAATTAATGATAAAGGTAAACATAAACAACAATTGAGGCCTGTGTTAAAGTGTAGAAACAGAAAAGCGACAAAGCCAGTCATGTTTCATTGCTACAGACCTTTTGGAAACATCTGGGTAAACTGAGGAAACACAAAATGTTATGTCTCAATTACATCTGAGCTAATTAGTTGATTCATTTTTTTATTAGTATGTCAATCAGCATAAAAATATATAGCAATGGTTTTGATTATTGCTTAATTTGTAAAAAATTAATTTTCTTTTTTTCCAGCTTCTGTTTTAAAACTTGCAGAGATTATCTTTGGGATGTTGACTGTAGCTGGGACGAAACAAGACATTTGAGAGCATCACATTAGACTCCTAAAAATTGTAATGAACACATTCTGCCTAGTGGCACGGTGGTGCAGTGGTTAGTACTGTCACTTCACAGCAAAGAAGGTTCTTAGTTCCGAACACGGCCCAGCAGGGGTCTTTCTGTGTAGTTTGCATGTTTTCCCTGTGTCATTCGTGGGGTTTCTCCGGCTTCCTCCCACAGTCCACAGACAGATTAGGGTGAGGTGTGAGCGTGAATGGGTGTTTGTGTCAACGTGTTGGCCCTAACCCTGAGTTTTTGTTTCCACAATTAATTTAGCTAATGATTATATGCAGCTTTGCAGACAGGAAAAGTAGTAATTTGCAGCCCTGCAAGTAGATGGGTATCATTAGCAGAGAAAAAGTTTCTGCATATATTTAAATTTCAAGTTAAACCAATGAGAAATTAAATATCATTTGACTTGAAACACGTTAAATACAAGTGTCTGCTCATCAACATTAGAAAAACAAATTTCTTGGTAACATTAGTGAAGGTACAGCAAATCTCTGCCAATGTGTTCTGTCACAGCTGCCTAGCTTTCAGTGACAACTCTAAGTACCTACCACTAATTGGATGTAATAGTGACATTATGATGCTCTTCCTTACGACAAGTTGCAGCAAAATCTGAAATGATTCACTTCCACGATGAGAATCTGGGCATAATTTGTGTCACATGGGAGATGTCAATCAAACACTGAATGGAAGTATTGATGGCAGTATTGATGGGAGGGGTACAAGGTCTTCTTTGGCTGTACTGAAATGCAGTTTAACGGTTCAGTGTGATGATAATCAATATCAAAACAAAATTATACCTTAGAAACATAGGGAATTACTTAAATATGAGCTGGGAAGCATATCTGAGGGTTTCTCTTCAGTGAAGTAGCAGCTGCTGTGGTTTGGCAACTCTGTGGTGCAGTTACAGCCCGACTCTGGAGCAAAGACAGTCAAGCACACAGTGTAGATGGAATAACAGGAAGTCATTTAACAAACAGGTGGCTATGGGAGCAGACAGACAGATGGACAGGCGGGAAGACAGACACATTCATAAACAAAATCACACAGACAGGTACAAACGCACACAGTCTCTATCAAACAGGTGCGCACGTACACACACATATACACACTCGCGCACACACAAACCTGAGCCCAAAGCCCTGCGGCTTGTTTTGGGAATACAAGTCTGGAGGCAGCTAGAAGGCATGCATGCTTCACATGGCTGCATGCAATACACAGTCACACACACTCAAAAAGTACATTCAGGCAAATACTCTTGGGTGTTCACACACACACACACACACACACACACACACACACACACACACACAGACACACTCCAAAATACACACACAATGAACCAATGGCATATTTCCACACTAGCACACACACAAGTGTTGATGAGAGGGGACCTTGGGATCTCACCCATGGGATCCACGCATATATATGCTGTACTGTATATATTCATTTGACTGCATACTACAGTATATGCACACACTACATGCACACGGACACACAGAGGGAAGGAGGATGAGGAGAAATGATGAAAGCATATGGTGAGATGTGCAGGAATACTTTGCGGCATGCAGCCGTTTGCAGCAGTGTGGTGCGGACCTTCATGATGATGGATAGGTCAGGAAATGACAGCATAAGTGGTTATTAAAAAGAGGATATGGGGGCATTTATAAAAACTATGTTAGCCAGTGTCTGCGGCCCATGTGGCATGTCACCATGGGATGCTGTGTCATGCCTCCTGATCTGTGAGACTTCCCCGTGCTCCATGTAGGGCCGGCTTTGTTAAAACCCTTTGCCATTCTCTTCTCAAAGAGCCCATGCAATCTTTGTACTTGAGTGACTGTGCCGGATTTACTAGGTGCTGGTACCAGGTGCAAAGTTGAACCTGTTTTATTGCCTTAT